GGGATAGATTCTTCTGTCTCATTTTGTCTAAATCACTCTTCGTATTTCTCTGTGTTAGGATATTCAGCTATAGCTCCTTCTCTTGAAAGTAGTGGCTAGATGAAGAGGTCCTGTAGTGTCTTGCCATACTACGTCCCCCATTCACCAGAACCTGACACTTGAGAGCTGTAGCCTATAGTACTGCATGCACCTACCACTGTGTCAGAGCCACGTTTGTCTTCATTCCAGTTGGCGCAACGGGTCTTCTTCTGCTGTGGGCAGCAACTGGCCCTTCTATTGAAGGACCAGGCAGGGGCCACCTTGAGCTTGAGTTGGATCAGATCAGGAATTTTTTCAGAGCCATAATAGCACCTGAGTGACCTCTCCAGAGAAGCTTTCATTGGTGGGCACAGCCTATATTCAGGGTCGATGCCTGCCCCCAGCCCACTGCTGTGGCTACAACTGAACTGGTAGATGTGTTTTTTTGTTTTGTTTTGTTTTGTTTTTTCCCTCTCCATAGTGCAGGAGTCACTTTGAAGTAGTGCTAGAGGCTGTCTGGGCTGCTTGCACACTGCTATGCTTTAGATGGACTCTAGCCAAGGGCACATTGAACAGGACAGGTCTGCAAGAGAACACAGTGGTTACACAGCAGTGTCAGCAAGGTTTGCGCAAGTCTACTATAGGAGGAGTCCTGTAGCTGCTTTGGAAAACTCCTGCCAAAACTCCTGCTAAGGAGGCAGGTGTGCAGGAAAATTCAGAGGCTGGGTGAATGGTGTTAGCTCACTTGCACTGTTCCAGTCTGTGGGAGGGGACCTGTGGCTGCTTTGGAAAACTGGTGAGGACTGGTTTGAGCAGGTGGGGTTGGGCCACTAGCTAGGTGGAGAGTAATCAAGTTGCACCGGTTCCTGCAGGTATCGTGGTATCTAGGCTGCGGGGATGGTGCCACCCACTCTTGTTCTTGGAACAGTCTCCCAAAGATCCCTGCCCCTCTAGGGTATGTTCTGAGATTAGGATATAAATCTTCCTATATACCTTAGGTGTTTTTCAAACTGCTGCTTCTATACTGCATCTCAGGGAAGCTGTTATGCTGGTTGCTTTAAGGGTGGGACTCTGCTGCCTATCCCCCTCTGGCTCTCCCATAGCTAAACCGGCTGATTTTTAAAGTTTCAAGTGTTAAGGCCCAGTGATTATGAAAATGCAGGAGATTAAGACCCTCTGGTTTTCAAAGCCAAATGTTATGGGGATTTATCTTCTCAGTGAGGTTCCCCTGTGCCTGGGGTGTCTGGTGTGCTCCTCTCCCCTCCACATGTGTGATATCCCTCCTCAAAACACACACTTGCAGGTCAGTTTGGCTCCCAACCAGACCTCTGCCCTTCCTACCCTCTTCAAAATGGTCTTTTCTCTATATTTATCTGTGGAGAGTCTGTTCCATCAGTCTTTGGGTCATTTTCTGCTTTATCTGTACTTGACATGGGTGTTATCTACTTGTATCTAAGGGATGAGGTGAGCTTGGGATCCTTCTACTCTGCCAACTTACCTGGAAGTTTCTCCCATTGTTATTTTTCACTGGTATTCCAAAATATTTTCCACTGGAATTTATTTTTTTTTAAATATCCGTTTTTATTCTTTTTTTTTTTTTAAGATTTTATTTATTTATTTGACAGACAGAGATCACAAGCAGGCAGAGAGGCAGGGAGAGAGAGAGGAGGAAGCAGGCTCCCTGCTGAGCAGAGAGCCCGATGCCAATGCCGGCCTTGATCCCAGGACCCGGGGATCATGACTAGAGCCGAAGGCAGAGGCTTCAACCCACTGAGCCACCAGGCACCCCGTCCACTGGAATTTATCTTAATAGGCACATTCAAGCACTTACAATTTGTTTAAAATTGCAATTTGCCTAAATATTGCTGTAGTTCTGATCTGACATCAGTGAAGTGGAACTTCAAAAATCTAAAGGAGCCAAAATAACCCAGGAGGAAAAAGTGTCCCCCGTTACTAGGTACACAATGTCTGTGCATATGAAAACTGGCATGTAGATTCAATGTTAACTAAGGAATGACAAAGAAACATCTTGTGAGTGACAAAAGTAAAAAAAAAAAAAAAATTGTTTCAGAGACATCAAAACAATTTATCCTGTATTTTTACTTTTAAAAAATAAGGAAATTTTTTCCTGCAGTTTCTCCCTCTCCCTTTAACACATTTTGCCCATTCCCTACTGCCAACCCCTCTGGCAAGTATTGTTTGTTCTCTTTACCTAGAGGTCTCTGACATTTGTTTATTCATTTTTTTAATACTCCACATATAAGTGAAATAATTTGGTATTTGTCTTTCTCAATCTGACTTATTTCACTTAGCATTATACCCTTTAAGTACACCCATGTTGTTGTAAATGGCAACTCTTAATTCTTTTATATGGCTAACACACACTCACACACTACATCTTCTTTATCTATTCATCTTTTATGGACACTTAGGTTTCTTCCTTGTCATGGCTATTTTAAATGATGTAGCAATAACTTAATGGTTCATTTATCTTTTAAAATACTGTTTTTGTATTCTTTGTGTAAATTGCCAGTACTTGATTTACTGAATCATAAGATATTTCTATTTTAAATTTTTTGAGGAAACTCCATACTGTTTCTGTAATAGCTATACCAATATGCCTTCCCACCAACAGTACACAAGGGTTCCTTTTTCTTTCTTTTTTTTTTTTAGAACATCCTGGCCAATACTTGTTTTTTTCTGCTTTTTGATTCTAGCCCTTTTGACAGGTGTGAGGTGATATCTATTGTGGTTTTTCCCTGTATATCCCAAATGAGTAGTTGATGCTGAACATCTTTTCATGTGTGTGTTGGCCATCTGGATTTCTCCTATGGAAAATGTCATGACTTGACAGTGAGGACCTGAATGGTCAGGTCCTCTGCCCAATTTTAACTGAACTGTTTTTTGGGTGTTGAGTTGTAGTTCTTTATATAGTTCGGATATTAATTCAGATGTATCATTTGCAAATATCATCTCCCATTCATTAGGTTGCGTTTTTGGTTTTTTGATGGTTTCTTTCCTTCACTGTGCAAAAGCTTTTTTTTTTTTAGGCTTTATTTTGGTGTTGTCCTGATAGTTTAATTTTGCTTTTATTTCCCTTGCCTGAGATTTGTCTAAAAGAATGTTGCTAAGGCCAATGCAAAGAAATTATTGCTTATGCTTTCCTCAGCATTTTATGGTTTCAGGTCTCACACTTATATCTTCAATCAATTTTGAATTTATTTTTGTGTATGGTGTAAGAAAATGGTCCAGTTTTATTCTTTTGCATGTAATGTCCAATTTTCCCAGAATCATTTGGATCTTTCTCCCAATGTATATACTCTTGTCTCCTTTTTCATAGATTAATTGACCATATAAGCATGGGTTTATTTCTGGGCCATTCTGTTCTATTTGTCCAAGTATTTTTGTGGCACTACCATACTGTTTTGATCACTACTTCTTTGCATTATATCTTGAAATTCAGGATTTTATCTTTCAGTATTGTTCTGCTTAAGACTGCTTTGGCTATTCAGGGTCTCTTGTGGTTCCATATAAGTTCTGGTATTATTTGTTCGAGTTCTGTGAAGGAAAGAAGGCATTCTTCCTATTTTATTCTTTTTTTTTTTAACTTATTTGAGCCAGAGTGAGGGAGAGAGAGAGCACAAACAGGGGCATTGCAGAAGGAGAGGGAGAAGCAGGCTCCCTGGTGAGCAAGGAGCCTGATGCAAGGCTTCCATCCCAGGACCCTGAGATCACAACCTGAACCCAAGGCAGGTGCTTCACTGACTGAGCCATCCAGGTGCTCCTATTTTATTTTTAAGATTTTATTTATTTACTTGAGAGAGAGAGAGTACAAGACGGGTAAGAGCAGAGGGAGAGGGACAAGCTGACTCTGTGCTGAGCGCAGAGCCCAATGCAGGGCTCAGTCCCAGGACCCTGAGATCATGACCTGACTGAAACCAAGAGGCAGGCCCCCAACCTACTGAGCCACCTAGGTGTCCCAGAAAGAAGGCTTTCTTATAGATCTTCTTGAAACTCTAAGCTTTTTATATTTAAAGAAGCTACTGCTTTTGTGCAGAAATTGCTATTAAGCATTCAAATTTTCAAGTTCAAAAAGATTGAGGGAAAATATAACTGTATTGAAGAAGCATTGCTTGTAACACACAGCTTCAGTGCATACATATTCAAAAGCTACCTTTTAATCCTATCTGTGAGATGTACTATGAACTTGGTAGAAAATTCAACTAAACAAATACAAATAATTTGTATCCTGTTATTTCTGATAAAAAAAAAAATGAATACATAAGCTTTCACACTCACATACACACTATACCAGAAAAAAATCTGACATATTTACTGCTTAAAAATAAACCTGATTTCCCTTTGAGATATAAGCTAATCCCCATTTTGCAATGTTCTGAAAGCCACCCATAAAGGAAATACTCCCAGTATTCCAGGTTTCATTATGCTGTCCCCAAATAAAGCAAAATTAATTAAGTCATAGTACTGCAGGTATATCCAATGATGTTATTAACCTGGTTTCAAATCTATGTACCTGAAGGATCATCCTGACGTAGTGATAAATCTACTGCCTGATTTATGTAAATACGTAATTTTAATATTTCCATCAATATTGAAAAAAATTCTGTTCGTTAGTGAAAAATACTAGATTTTAGCTTTGAGACAAATGAACAATAAAATAGTGGATTGGACGTTCATAAAAATCAAATCAATACTGAAAATAACAAAAGAGCATGTGAAATCTAAGTTCCCACCTTACAGATAAAATCAAGAAGGTTATATTTTTAAAAATCATCTCAATTATGAAAATAATAAAAATTTAATTTTTTTGTTCTTATTTAATATTTTTGGTTTCTTATCAAAGTTACCCACATTCCTTGTATTATTATTTATTGGCACTCATCATTTTATTCCATTACAATGCTGCTAAAATAGGTTTCTACTTTTTTAAATTTAAATATCACATTTTATCTCCTTTTCAGATGTGGACAAGGATGGAAAGGAAATCGATGCCACATCAAGGTTAACCCTTCCCTTGCAGATTTCACATACACTCAGAATAGTAGGTGATATTGTGACTAATTGCTTAAATTTGGAATTTTAAACGTTTTTCACTGCATACTTATCTTTTTAATTGGTTTGAAATTCCAGATATACGGACTTTCCTGGGCATTGGATTAGCTTTCCTGATGATTCATATTATAGTCGCAGTTGTGTGTTTTCTTGCAAACAGAAAAGTACCAGTCAGGTAAGTGATGCCTTTGATTGCTAAATAAAATATACTGTGGCAGAACAATTTTCTGCAACATTTCAGTTCCTTCCTTTTTCTTTCACTTCATTTACATGCAGGTAACTTTCGTGTTTCTACGCTTTGTGGATTTCTTTCCTTCTGGGCAGAATGTAGGAGCTACTTAACAATAATCATTCTTCTTTTCTCCGTAAAAAAAACCCTTAAGTTTACTTTCCACATTGTGTTGAAAGCAGTTTTGATGACAAGAAAGGGACTGTGGCATTCTCCACAGATTAAGAGACGTGAGGGTATCAGTGTCCCCCTTGCTGGTGGCACCTGGGGAAGGCAACAGAACTGCAAATGAGATGCTCTCTTGGCCCTCCCAGTGAATTCTAAACATCAGTGTTTCAGATCAAGACTCCCAGGTTCTAGGTAATATACAAAACAGAGACCAGGAGTTGCTGTACCCAAAAGAACTCATGCAATACTAAGAAGATCCCAATTACTGGAGGGAGAGAGCCCAAGAAGATAGTGGAGTAGGAGGATCCCAAGCTCCCCTTCTCCTCTCCTAGATAACAGCCACATCAGTGCAACTAACCCAGAAAAAGACTCGAAGACTGGCAGAACAGGCTCTGTACAGTTAATTCTAGAGCATCAGTGACATCAAAAATGGTGGGAGGCACAGAGAAACAGTCAAGAACCAAACTCCCACAAGATTAAACTACACTGGAAAGACCAGTCCCCCTAACATTTTACTCCAAAAATGAGCAGAGCTTAACTTTTGGAGTTTTTATAACTAGCAGAGCTTAAGACTGGGTACTTTAAAAATCAGTAGGCTTTACTTTGGAAGAGCTAGAAGGCAATAGGAAACTGAGTTGCCATCCTTAAAGACAGAACATAACAAACAACCCAGCCAAATTATAGGAAAGCAGCAGCAATCTGAAAATTACCTGGGGCATGTATGAAGTAGATTTCTTTACTAATCTCAGAATGCATGCTGCAAGGGCAAGGATTTTTAGGAGACTTATCTAAGAACATAAGAACTGGCAGGTGACATTTCTACCTCCTGGCAGCTTAGACAACCAGACACCTTCAAGAATGAGCATGAACGCTCGTTATCTAGCTTGCTAACACTGTATACCCTACCCCACATTCTCCTATGGATCTGGCCCCATCATACCCATCCAGCTGGGCAGGAGTCATTCCAAAGCAGTGACTGTCAAAACTCATTCTACAAGTAGCCCTGCTAGGAACTAGTAACATTCCTCACCTACCCTGCTAACACCACATGCCCTGCATTCTACTGCAGACCTATCCCATCCAACCTGCTCCATGGGGAAGAATCCCTCCGTAGCAGCTTCTGACAAGTATCATCCTTCAATCAACTACAATAGTTCAAAGCACCACTCCAAAGTGACTCCTGCCCTGGGGAGCTGGGGAGAGGGGAAGATAACCATACACACCAGTTCCACTGCAGCCCCATCAGGGGACTAGGGATAGACATCTGAAACGACTGCCAACACCATCCACCAACAAAAACCTCATGGGGAACAGCACAAGGAAAAAACCCTGTAGTTCAGGGTCACTGCAACCCCAACAGAGTGGAGGCAGGTATTTGGTTTCAGTGAAGACCCCACAAACCAATGAAAACCTCTCAGGAAATGATGCAGAAAAAGCGTTCTATAATTTGATGCTACCACAGCCCCAGCAAATGGGCTGATGGTAGGGATTTGGTCTGAACCAACTTAAAGCCCAAGGTAACTACAGATTGGCCCTTCAACAGCACAAGGATCATACCTTACCCAGAACAGAGAAACGGGGCCATTGTAGCCAACTGGACAGAGGGCAAACAAGGCTCAGCCACAATAGGATGCATGCAATACATAAAGGAAACACATCTGTAGTGACTGGCTCTGGTGAACAGGGAGCAGTGCTCTAAAAGGCACCACAGGACCTCTTCTTTGTAAGGCCACTAATTTTAAATCAGAAGACATAAATGATTTTCCTACTATAGAGTAATAAGCACAGAGACTTAAAACAAAATGAGGGGACATAAGAATAGAGAAAACAGGACAAAATCACAGCAAAAAGCTAAAGGAAAAGGAGATAAGCAATATGCCTAATAGAATTCAAAGTAATGATCATAAAGAACTTACTGGACTAGAGAAAAGAATGGAGGATCTCAGTGAGACTTTTAATGAAGAGATAAAAAACATAAAAAAGACCTAGAGATGAAGACCTCAATAACTGAAATTAAAAATACACTAGATGAAATAAACAGTAGATTAGAGGAAGTAGAAGAACATATGAATGACCTGGAGAACAGAATAATGGAAAATAAACAGCTGAAGAGCAGAAAGAAAAAGAGTAATAGAAATTGAGAATAGGTTAAACAATTGGTTTAATAGGTTAAGCAATAGGTTAATAGGTTAAACAAACTCAGCAACATCATCAAGTGTAATAACACTCACATTATAGGGATCTGAGAAGAGAAAGAAAAGGAGCATAAAATTGATTTAAAGAAAAAATAGCTAAAATTTTCCCTAATCTGGAGAAGGAAACAGAAATCTAAATCCAAGGGGCAGAGAGAGCCCCAAAATCAACCCAAGGAGGTTCACACCAAGCCACATAATAATTAAAATGGAAAAAAGTAGTGATAAAAAGACTTCAAAAGCAACAAGAGAACAGAAGACATGTACCCCATAAAGCCTCTTAGCTACTGTTTTAGCAGAAACTTTGCAGACCAGAAGAGAAGGGCATGATCCATTCAAAATGCTGAAAGGAAAAAAAAAATCTACAACCAAGAATACTCTATCCAACAAGTCTATCATTTATAACACAGGACTGTTAAAGAGTTCCCAGACAAATAAATGTTAAAAATGCTCTTCACTGTATGGCATGGAGTACTGGGTATGGTGCATAAACAATGAATTTTGGAACACTGGAAATAAGTAAATAAATAAATATGTTTATCACCAGTCATACAAGAAATGTTAGAATAGAGTCTGATTGGAAAGAAAATGTAAAAATGGAAGATAAATTTGAAAACAGAAAATTTTCATAAGCAAGTACAAACATAATAAAAAGTATCAGATTAGGAGCAACTGACTTGCTCAGAAGAACACACAACTTTCGATCTCCCAGTTATGAGTTCAAGCCCCAAGTTGGGTGTAGAGATAAACAAACTTTAAAATAAACAAACGTACATACTAATCACATATAACACAAGTACAAAGGTTAAAACACAAAAGCAGTATAATCAATTATATCAATAAACAGTCAAGAAATTAAAAGATGCAGAATATGATTTCGTATGCATAAAACATGGAGGGGTAAGATTTTGTGCTTTTAGAATGGGTTCCAACTTCAGCAACCATCAACTAATGTAGATTTCTACATGCATAGGATATTATACATCAACCCAATGACAACCACAAATCAAAAACCTGTAACAGATATGCAAAACATAAAGAGAAAGAAATTCAAGTAGATCACTAAAGAAAGTCAGCAAACCACAAGGGAAGAGAGCAAGAAAAGAAAGATACAGGGAAGAACTATCCAAACAACCATAAAACAAGTAACAAAATGTTAATAAGTACATACCCATTGCTAATTACTCTGAATGTAAATGAACTAAAAACTCCAGTGTTTAGTTACACTTTTTTTTTTTTTAAGATTTTATTTACTTATTTGACAGAGATCACAAATAGGCAGAGAGGCAGGCAGAGAGAGGCGGGTAAGCAGACTCCCTGCTGAGCAGAGAGCCTGATGCGGGGCTCAATCACAAGACCCTGAGATCATGACCTGAGCCTAAGGCAGAGGCTTAAGCCACTGAGCCACTCAGGCACCCCTTAGTTACACCTTTTACAGTTATGCTATAGCTGTGATAAAAGACCAAGACCTAGGTATATGCTGCCTACAAGAGACTCACTTCACACCTAAGGACACATGCAAATTGAAAGCAAAGGGTGGAAAAACATTTACCGTGCAAATGAAACAAATAAGATTAAATAAATCTTAAAGGCTGTAACAAGAGATCAGGACAGTACCTGATAAAGGGAACAATCCAACAAGAGAATATAACAATTGTAAATATTTACACACCCATCATGGAAGCACCTAATACATTTAAAAAAAAATATTAAGAGCTATTAAGGACTAAACTGACATTAATATAGTAATAGTAGGGGACTTTTAACACCTTACTAATATCAATGGATAAATCATCCAGACAGAAAATCAATAAGGAAACAGTGGCTTTGGAAGGCAAATTGGACTAGATGGATCCAATAGATATATTCAGAGAACCCCATTCAAAAACAATAGAATACACATTGTTTTCAAGGGCACATGGGACATTCTCCAGAATAGATTATTGGGCCATAAATCGAGTCTCAGCAAATTCAAAAGAAATGAAATCATATCATGCATCTTCTCTGACCACAAAATGTGTAAATCAATCACAAGAAGAAAATCTGGAAAGAACACAAATACATGGAAGCTAAATGACACACTACTAAACAGCAAATGGGTCCAAAAATCTTTGGGAGGCAGCAAAAGCTGTTCTAAAAGGCAGGTTTATAGCAATATAGGTCCACCTTAGGAAGAAAAATCTCAAATAGGCAACCTAACCTTATACCTAAAGGAGCAAGAAAAAGAAAAACAAAGCCCCAAACCAGTAGAAGGAGCAAAATAATAAATATTAGAGTGTAAATAAATGAAACAGAGAATGAAAAAAAAAAAAAAAACCCACAAGAGAACAGATCAATGAAACCAGGTACTATTTTTTTTTTTAAATATCAACAAAACCGATATACCTTGAGCCAGATTCATCCAATGAGAAAGAGGACTCAAATACATAAAATCAGAAATGAAGAGGAGAAATACCCACTGAAACCACAGAAATACAAGCAATAATAGAGATTTTGAAAAATTATATACTAACAAATTGGACAACCTAGAAAAAATGGATAAATTCTTAGGAACATATAACCTTCAAATCTGAATCAGGAAGAAAT